GCAAAAAGGACTATCTGATTTGCTATTCTGAGCTCAGGAGACTCACTAGGCCCAACAGCTATGGTCGTGATCCCTGTTGGAAGGCCATTCTGTCCCGTTCTACGGCATGGTGGTAGACCATCATCACCAAGCACAACATACTTGGTTAACTTTTTCCCCAGCAAGAGCAGATCTTGAAGAACCAAAGTTTGAGAGACTCTTGGGAGATCAGAGTAAAGGTGCGTAGCAAAGAAAAAAGCTATTGGCTAACAATTCACTGAGCAAGATACTTGCAATTGAGCATAAATGTCAACTCAAGAGTGAACGAGATTGAAAGTAGGAATGGATGTTGAATAGGTTGGAGCGGGGTGACAAATAAGCAAGGAAAATCCCATTTTTCTATGCAGAATTCTTAATTTGATAAGAAATTATTAGTATTTTTGATTAGCATTCAAGTGTACTATAACTAATTTGTTGAAAACCCTTTTTCGTTCACCCAATCAATTCAATGCATCATACAACTTAATTTGATAAGAAATTATTAGTATTTTTTATTAGCATTCAAGTGTACTATAACTAATTTTTCGTTCACCCAATCAATTCAATGCATCATACAACAGTTTAATTGTTCTTTGAAGAGCACATTCATACTCGTTGGCAGGCTGTTGAATTTCTGTAAGTTTTGTGCATGTCTTATTACGCTTGTTGATGACTTGCTGAATTCATTATAGCTTTCATTCTTGCTGTTTGACAAGCTAATTACTCTAATTTTTTTGTAGGCCAAGCGTGTATTCAATTTTTGTTCTTTTGAAATGATTTATATTATATTTTGAGCATCAATTTTACCCTTTTATTTTGATCGATTCATTTTATTTGTTCTTTTTAAGTGGCGTCCAGATTGGACTTTGCTTATCTCCTGTCGTCATCCTTATGTAGGGGACTATTTTGAGATTATTGATTCTGCTCAGCACGCTAAGAATATTGTATGAGTGATAAGAACATCACAATATGGTCTTCTATTTCATCACATTGAAAAAGATTTGTACGATTCTTCTAACCTGCGTGAGAAAATCTAATTGTACAAATTTCTTTGCTGCATTATTAAAGACTTAATTTTGTTTTTTCAGATATTTTTTATTGATGATTTACTATTATGCCCAATTTTAATTATTTAGTTAGGTTCTTTCAGCTTGATTTTGGTTGTATTTCGGTGTCTCTCCCGATGGGGAGATACATGGGCATATGACAAGTCTTCCCACCGCGTTAACAAAATTGTGTACGAGTGATTTGCACTAATGCTTAAAACAGTTTTATCTCCCGCACTTCAAAAAAATTTACTTTGGACCTGCATAAAGCAATAGACAAGCATGGCAAGCTTTTCTCAGTGTGCTAAAAAAAAAGTGTACGAGTACTTGTTTTGGCGGTCAGGCAATGTTGCCCCTGCCCCCAACATGCTAAGAAAAATATGTATGGTGTTTCACATTTGCATGAAAATATACAAATATGATAGTTTTTTCCTGTGGTGCTAAAAAAATCGCATGTAGTACTTAGTTGGAACAGTTCTTTTCGTTATGCTGGAACAATGTGAAGAACACATAATTGTCCCTATGTTATACCTTTATATGCCAGGTTGACAAATTGGAGACAACGAATTTGGCGCATATTTGAGGCTCAAAAAATGTAGAGAGATGGGTAACGGTGGTGAACTCTCGGGTAGGTAGCTGTTGAGGTGGTGCAGTCGCCTGCAAGAGAGGTGGTGGTTGGAGCTGAGGTGAAGGTGGGGTTCAGCCTAGCCTCTGTAGCATGGAAATGAGGAGTGTTGTCTGTTGACAAAAATAGGCATTAGATGAATAGAAACTTGTTATGGCGTGTATAAGTTGCTGTGGTTGCTCAAGTTGAGGAGTGGAAGGCAGGTCAATTTAAAGTTAAGCTGGCTAGGTAGTGGACGTGAGCAGAAAGCCAGAAATTGGAGATTTCGGCCTTTGTCGTGTAAAGGCAAAACTTGGGAGCAGTTTGTGTGAGATTTGAAGGGTGAAGAGGAATCTGTGTATGGATGCATCATATGAGAAAAAGAGAACCAAAGAGGGAGAGTAGGTTTGCCTGTTTTGGGGTCCTGGTCTTACATAAGAGGGCCTACGGAGATCAAATGTGGTGTTAGGAATAGAGGAAGAGATGGGAGGGGGTGTTCGACGAGGCTGTTGTAAGGGCGAGCAGGTTTTCATCACTGAAGGGAGGTGCATAACAGAACAAGAGAAGTGGTGTTGTGTGAGGGAAGAGAAGCGATTTGTTTGTTTGAGAAGTTGGGAGCAGCGGCGGAGCAAAAGAAGTGTTTGAGAGAGCGAGCAGCGGCGGACTCCTTGTGGGCTGCAGATGAAAGAGAATGGGTGGCTTTGGCTTGGGTGACCTTAGACTGCGGTTGAGAGGGTTGTTGCAAGTGAGGTCGAGGTTTCGGTCTGAACCGAGGGATAAGGGAGATCACCGCGGGCTGAGGAGAGGGAGGATGTGCAGCGAGGGTTGTGCCTGCATGTGCATGGGAGGGGTGGAGCAGCACGGTGAGGAGACGGGCTTTGCATGAGGCGGGAGTGAGGGAGAAGGGGATTTGCATCTCTTGCTCGGTCGAGTATAGTGAG